CATTAACTAAACTGTTTGAAAGTCTAAGGAACCGATTTTTAACAATACTTTATAAGTATATGATAAGATTAAGTTACAGTTATTTGGAATAGTACTTGCTGATCAACTCATTTGCGTTAGCCTGTATGATCACGTAGCACTGTTTGATCCACAGAAGACATATGTTGGTCAGTCGAAATATAGGTTGGGCGTAAAACATTTGATTCACGAGGCTCTGATAACTTAATCTGATTAATAAAAATGCACTTTATGCCTTTCAGTCATATATAAAACGGATGTCATCACTAACCAGGAAGGAACGATTTAGGTCATCGCCTATATCAATTCTCAAAGGAAGAATGGTAAAATATTTTTTCATATCCTGCTTATCCATTAGTAAGGCAATGATTTGCTCATCAAGTCTGCACAGAAATTACGTTTATTTTATTAAAAGCTCAGTTCCTCAATACCTGATCAGCTACCATATAAGGAACTGTTACAAAATTTGGCTACTTAAACATCATAGCAACAAAAAATTTAACATGCTTCTTTGTATAGTGATATTTTGCACACAAATTAGAAGCATTTGTGATTCTCAATCTTGACATTCAATGCATGCATATTAGTAAGTGAATCATAACAATATACCTCTCATAGAGTGGGGACATCGTTCGTGCAACATACCTTTCATCAGTTCTTTCGCGTTAGGGAAATTTCCGATTGTTCCAAGGTTTTCCAGTGACACGAGAACATCTCGGCTGAGCAACAGTAAGCGGAAGCGTAACTGCTTCAGTTCTTCCTCCAGCAGAAATAAATGCATCCTTCGCATCGTGGCCGGATCTTTCAAAGGGTGCAGCGTGATTGCCCGATACACCTCAGGTACGTCCAGTCGACCTGAATAAGCCAGGTGACCACTGTTGTTGTTGTGAAACAAAATTTGCATCTAAAGGTATTGCTTTTATGTGCAATGAAGATGGGTGTATAAACATGTTCAAGGAGTACTGTATTGACAACAGAAATAATTAACTATAATCAAATTTAAATAAAAATGATACTTCAGTAGTTCCAGATATAAGAAATAGACAGACGGTAAATCTCTTTAGAACTGAAGACGTTTCAGTCAAACGACACCAGCTACCTTCAGTGCAAACAATGACTGCTGTTAATACACTATTTGTAAAAAAACCAAAGTCATCCGTAACCGTCAGCTTACTGATTTATCTAGCATTTTTATGACTGATGCAATTTGTGGCCTCTTTCTCCGTGACGTATATGGCGCCAAGCTGATCTGTAATGCTATCATTCAGTGTACCCTTGTTTCTAAGGACAATTCTAAAGGCCCCGTGACCCTCCCAATTCCCCTTTACGTAATGACACTCATTTATCCATCTCAGTAAAATAAAAAGGGAGTCGTTTGGTCAGATTGAAACCCACCGTCTGTCGACTGTCAACCCATGATCAGAAAGGGGGTATCAAACAGCTGCAAGATGCATTAACTTCTCGATTCCTTTGAATCCCAGTAGTCTAACAGCAATTAAACCTTGCTCTCCAAATTCAGTTTCTGAGTTCTCTATAAAACCCAGAAACTACTGTGATTCGCTTTGTACAAAAAATTTAAGTCATTTTTTAACCCTGAGAAATCGAATGGTGTTTAGTGGATAAATTGCAGAAACTGTGATAAAGTTCATAGTGGTGAAGCATATAAGACCTGTAAAG